CTAGGGTCCTCTCCTTTCGACCGCTCATGGTGGGGCGGTGGAATGGCCCTTTCTGGCTTATTAGCCGTCGTCATATCCACAGCACCAAGTGGTGCACCAATCGAAGCTCGAACTCGCGACCTTTTCATCAGAATCTATCGCCCTAACCATTGAGCGCCGAATTCGTTATCTTGCCGGTTTTGGTCGGAAGATATTGACACGCGTTGACGCACGTTTACTGACCGCCAGCGAAACTCCCTTGCCTCTTTCCGACTTTGGCTTGGACCCCATTTCTCGAGTTCGAACGTCAAGTGGTGCACCAATGAGGACTGGGTAGGACTAGCTGGCGACGGCTACTAAGCCAGAAATGGCCATTCCAGTCGTCCTTATCTTTGCCGGCAATACTATTTGCCCATTCGTCTAGCTACTAGAACTACTGCTGGGTCCAATAAATGAGGCCACAGGCAAAGGCGGAGCGGGACAAGTGACTTGAATTAGCGGTCGGTGAACTTTCATCAACGACTTTTAGTTTACTCCAACGAACTCTCCTCGCTTGGGAATGTTTGCCCATGACTCGATGTAATTATTTAGCTTACATTTTCGAATGGCGCAAAAGTCCTTCATGTAAATTTCAGAGTCTCAAACCAGATCGTAGCATGCACGTAAACTCGCTGAGTTCATTTCGGGTAACCCTTCCGGTTAAGTGAAATTTTCTTTTCTTGCGATTGCCCTACGATTCTTTCTCTGACACTTTACGCCGCCGTCACAAGAAACGTAAGTTCGTACCCCTTCAAGGGTAACACCTTGTCAGAGAACTACCCTGAAAACTGGCGCAGCTGTCTGCACTGTGTTTCAAAATCGCGAATAAATCGTTCAGACGCAACGAATAGCGCAGTGACAGGCGGGACACACAGGCCTTCAACACCGCTCTTAATTCATTTATCGAACTAACCAATCAGCAGTGCTGCTTCGTTTTACATCAGCCAATGCACGTTATCAGCCAGCTATCCACGACGAGTCAATAACGGGCTAGTATAACTTTTTTTCCTTTTCTGTGCTTTTGTGACGAGCAGAAAGAAAACACTGCACACTGTACGAGTCCCCTCTTCTAGTCTTATGCGTTGTTGAATTAGGAATGAGGCAAATTGTGATATGGACGATGGCGATTTTTGGTCAGTTGCTGCGGAGAGGGGCAGCCAACTACTTGGTAGATGCTCAACATGACAACTTGTCACTCACGGGCTCCGTCCACAGGCGATACAAGAAACCCAGGCGAGACTAAGAGGACACAGAGGACCAGATGATGGCGAACCGGCATTCCATTCTACTGATCTCCGAAATACGTTGCGAGGACTGAGAGCCCAGAAGAGAAAACGCACACACATACATAATAGGTAAAATGACTTCAGACTGAATAAAGTATAAACAGTGTCCTTAAGTTGGGAGTGGTACAAGGTCAGCGACGAGGGGCAACAATTCTCCAATCTTCAGACGCCAGTTGCGAACATCCTTGCTTGACCGACACCAGTACTCGCCATGGCGAGGCTCGGCCGCGATGCAACGCTTCAGTACGTCTTGTTGCTGGTCCTACGAGAAGGGAGCAAACGAAGACGGGTTAACATTTTTCAAGGTAATGAGACCTAAGGAAGCAGTAGCTAAATAGGAATATCTGGAAGTGTTGGTTGTCGTTGAAAATGTTCCAATACGAGCGATCACATATGCAATCGATAAGAAAGATCATACAATAACCTCTGGAATATATCGTTATTACTAAAAGGCAAGCACCTCAACACCGCCACCATCGTCAGC